TCTCTCTATATAAGAAGGAAGATGGGGCAATCTACTTCCGTAGTGATACTGCCTCGGAAACCCAAGGAGGGGTCGCTATGAGTCAGGTCTGACTCAATGGCACACAACAACAACAACAAATGAGTCAGAAGCAACTTGACAGCAATGGGTATTATTTATTATGATACCTTTTGTCAAGCATAAAATTTAACATGGCTGTCTTCCAGTGAACAGGTAATTTCTATGTAGAAGAAAAAGAAATTATACTATTGTGCTGTCCTTATTTCAAAATGTATATGTTTAGCTAGAACCTTTGCATTGACCAAATAAATTTACTCTTACTTGCCCTGTAATCTCTCTCTCTTTTTAATATTTATGTTTTAGGTAAAAATTTGCACAGCAAATTAGGTTTCCATTTAACAATTTTTACACAAATTATTCTATGACATTGATTACACTTTTCACATTGTGTCACCCTTATCATTATTTCCATTGTTTCCAGTATCTAGCTTCCCTTCCCCTCTTTGTCTTCTCATCTTTGCTTTTGGGTAAATGTTGACTGTTTGGTCTAGCTTGTAATCTCTTCTTTTCTCCTGCCTACTCCTTCTCTACAAATGAACATGATTAAGTCTCCCCTGTGTAAGAAAGCTATCCTTCTGGTAACCCTGATTTCGCCCTCTCCATCCTGCCACTTCTCCTTCTACTGCCCTTCACCTGAAACTGGTTGAACAAGTGTTGATTCACTTGGCCTCCATCTCCTGTTCCACCCAGTTGTGCAAGGCTGCCTCCTTGTAGTCAGTATTATCTTTGGCTTTCTATGAAATGTCTCTTCAAAGTCAGAAGTGACCTGGTGGCATTTGACATTGTTGATTCATTCTCACATTTCTCCAAATTGCTGTTCTTCCAGTGTTTCCTGTCTCATGTAATTGCATCACCTAACCAATCACCCAAGCCAGAAACATTGGTAACAATATAAATTCTCCCTCCTCTCTTACGTATAATAAGTCACCAAGTAATACGGATTCCTCCCAAGAAATAACTCTTGAATTCATCTCATTTCTCCATCCTGACTATCTGTGCCATGGTTTAGATCCTTTCTGTCTCTCATGGAGAATATCACAGCCACCTTCTAACTAGCCTACCTATTCAATTAAGTATATGTGGAAGGACTAAAGGAAGAAAAAAAAAGTCAATGAGAAAATGCAGTTGAGTGAAACAAGGGAACCTAGAATGGGGGCAGTAGGAGGCTTGTAAAAATACTTGACACAGAGGAAATGTATCTTTATGTAATGGGAGTTTAAGTTGGTCCAGTCACTTTGGAAAGCCATATGAAAGTACTTAGTAAAGCCAACGAGATACAAACAAAATGACTCTGCAGTAGTCTCCTAGGTAAGTTCCCTGGCCTGAAGAACTCTTATATGTATATGCAAGGAGACAGATACAGAAATGTTCATTGCAACATTATTTGTAGTAATGAAAAATTTAAAACAATCTAAATGCCTACAGAAAGGAGAATGATAGATTGTGGTATATTCTTGGGCAATAATGAGCTCAAACATACCGAGGATTGTGAAGGTGGCACAGGACCAGGCAGTGTTTCATTCTGTTGTACATAAATAAGGTCACCATGAATCAGAGCCAGTTTGACAGCAAACAACAACATATTCATAGGATAGAATACCATATAGGATTTTAAATAAAAGAATTAGAACTATGTATGTTAATGTAATAAGTCTCAAAAATATAATCCTGAATGTAGAAAATGGTACACTCTTTACATAACTTTTAAAATGGCAAACAGTACTGCATATCTATAACACTTTGTGTTGGCTGGGCTTCTTTCAAACAATCTTTTGTGTCTTCATTTTCTACTTATACTGTAAGCTTTTAGCAATGTTTTAGAACTATTGCTAACTCACTGGTTTGGGGCAGAGTATGCTGACCAGAGCCCACATTGACTTTTTATTCTTACTTCCTAACAGGTCAGTGTATATAACTTTCAGTGGCTTTGAGAGCGTAAAGGGACTGCCTGCCTTTCGATATAAGGTACCTGCAGAAATATTAGCCAATACCTCAGAAAATGCTGGCTTCTGTATACCTGAAGGAAACTGCTTGGGCTCGGGAGTCTTAAACGTCAGCATCTGCAAGAATGGTAAGAACTCGAAAGAAGGGGCAGGATTATGGGTATCTAGCATGCAGACTCCATGGGAGAAAGATGAGGCAGTCTGCTTCCATAAAGATTTACAGCCTTGAAAACCCTATAGGGCAGTTCTGGTCTGTCCTAAAGGGTCTCTGAATTGGAATCAATTCAGTGGCAGTGGGTTTGTTTTTTGATTTAGAATGCAGGATTGGAAAGCAAAGAGTATCTTATCAGCTCAATTAGAAAGAAAGATTCTGACCTTTCAAGAATAATGTTTTGTAGCATGGCCTCCTCAAGAATTGTTGATTGGCATTTTTGTAATGATTTTTGTTTATGGAATGCCATGTTCTATTTCTTTCTGAACAGTAGTTGAAAAGTTTTAATAGAGATAAAAAACAAGGGCCAATGAGAACAAGTTCTTGGTTTTGATCTCTCCTGTTGCTTTACAGGGTGAATGGTCCTGAAAGTTTCCCTTCTCACTCAGGATGGATTCACGGCACCGATGTAGATTTAGTTTTCTTCCTGGTTTGTTAACATTCTGCTCCCTCAAGAAGTTGATGTCAGAATTAATATAGTCTACTTTAGAAGACTTAAAACTTTTGCTACAATCTTTTCCTCATATTCCCAAATTTAGACTGAAATGTTAAACTCTCCAGGATTATCCTTGATTTTTCTGAATTTCCAAGGAAACATTTTGCATATTGAGATGAGTGAGTGTTGTAGAGTCAGGCAGATCTGAGTTTGAGTCTATTTGTTAACAAACTGGCCAACTTTGTTAAGGATTCTGAACGTCAGTGTTCTCACTATAAATGGAGGTAACTGGAACTTTCTTAAAGGTTGTATGAGGGTTAGAGATACTATATAGCAGACATTCAGGACAATGTCTGCCCTTATTAAGTGCTCACTTGATTTTTTTAAAAATACATTTTAAAGTTCACTATAGGCTACAAAAGGAGCTCTGATAGCGTAGTCCTAAGGCACTTGACTGCTAACCAGAAGGCTGGAGGTTCAAATCCACCAGCCACTCCTCAGAAGGAAGGTTGGGCAATCTACTTCCATAGTGATACCATTTTGGAAACTCTAGGAGGGGTTGCTATGAGTCGGGTCTGACTCAATGACACATGACAACAACAACAACATAGACTACAACAAAAGGAGCTATGGTGGTGGAATGGTTAAAGCACTGGACTGCTAAAGAAAAAGGTCGGTTGTTCAAACCCTCCAGCCACTCCACAGGAGAAAGAGGAGGCAGTCTGCTTCTGTAGACTAACAGTCTTGGAAACCCTAGGAAGCAGTTGTACTCTGCCCTAAAAGGGTTGCTGTGAGTTCAAACTGACTAAATGATAGTGGATTTTTTACATATAGATATAGATATATATATAGGCTACAAAAAAAGATATGGCTTTGTGGAACTGTTTAGCAGAAAAGAGCAAAACATTTATGGATGTGAGAGATTATATATATCTTGACCCATGGAGTAGTGGATATGTAAGTGGATTTCATTGTTACTGGCCAATTAGCTCATTTCTCCAAAAACATTATTTCGCTGGCAGCAATTATTGTGTTCCTCTCTCCTCTTCAATAGATAGTTGCAATCCAGTTGACATTGACTTGTACAACAGAATGAAATATTGCCCAATCCTGTGTCATCCTCAAAATTGCCAGTATGTTCTAGTCCATCACTGTGGCTTTTGTGCCAATCCATCTCACTGAGGGTCTGTCTCATCCTCATTGACCTTGTGCTTCATTAAACTTAGGAACTCTGGTGGCATAGTCCCTAAGGCATTTGACTGCTAACCAGAAGGCTGGCTGTTCCAACCCACCAGCCACTCCTCAGGAGGAATGTTGGGCAATCTACTTCCATAGTGATACCGCCTCAGAAATCCAACGAGGGGTCGCTATGAGTCAGATCCAACTCCATGGCAATGGTTGAGTTGTGTGTTGTGTCCACCACTAGTGATGGATCCTTCGTGATGACATGTCAGAAAGAAGTGAGTTGGACAGTGTTCTGCTGTAATCCATTAGGTTTTCATTAGCTAATTTTTTTGGAAGTAGATTGACAAGCCTTTTTTCCTAGTCTGTCTTAGTATGAAAGCTCCACTGAAACCTGTTCATCATGGGTGGCCCTACTTTTATTTCAAATAATGGTGCCATAGCTTCCAGCAGCATAGTAATACACAGGCCACTACAGTACAACAAACTGACAGATGGATGGTGGAGATCTTGGATAGGTTTCCTTTAATAACTTGTTTTCTTATTTGGCTCTTAAATAGAAAAAAGAACCAAAATCAAAACCAGCAGCTTTATGTAGGCAGACTTTAATCTCATCCCAGGCTGGGTTATAACATGAATTGACAAAGTCTTAAGATTTTTTTTGTATAACGGTAAGATGGTGGAATAGGCAGCAAGCTACACAGACCCTCTTCAACAAAGAAAAGAGAAGACAATTGACAGAGCACAGAAGATAATCCTGGAGGCCTGAGCTTTGAAAGGAAGTATATAGAAGTGGATTAGACACCAACTAGTAGAAGAACGTGGTATCAGGATTGGAAGAAGTTTTGATGGTTTTGATTTTCATAGAAGGTGTGATAGTTGGAGCTGTGTGTCAACTTGGCTGGACCACAATTCTGTGTGGTTTGAGCTGTTGTGCTGTGGTTGTTCCCATGATGGGATCAGATGACTGTGTTTTGAGCAGCCAGTCTGTTGAAAGGGAGTTTCCCTAGGGGTGTGGCCTGATTCCAGTATATCCAAGGACATCCTGGGAAAAGGGACAATCTTCTGTGAATCAGGATTCTGTTGTGCTGCCTACAACTGTCTATGAGTGAACAGTCCACCATTTGGCCTGGAGATCTTGGATTCTTCATTCGTTGGAGTCAGCAGCCGGTATACTGACTGCCAGCCTTGAGCTCCTCAGCCCCTGTGGTTGCAAGAGCCAGGAAAAGCCTCCAGCTTGACGTGGAAAAGCCTCCAGCTTGATGTTTGATCCCAGAACTTTGGACTTGCCAGTGTCTATAAGTGTGTGAGCCATTTTCCTAAGATATATATATATATATATATATATATATATATATATATATATATATATATGCTTTACTGGTTTTTGTTTCTCTAGAGAACCCAGTCTAACACAGTAGGAGCCTTTAATACATCACTTTCAATCACAGATAGTACAACTGGAAAGAAACTCAACAAAGACACAGAAGAACGAAACAATACAGTCCACCAACTTGACCTTATAGACATCTAAAGAGCACTTCACCCAACAACAGCACAATATACCTTCTTCTCCAGTGCACATGAAACATTCTCCAAGATGGAGCAAGTGTTAGGCCACAAAGCAAGGCTCAATAAATTTAAAAACACTGAAATACTGCAAAGCATTTTCTCAGATCACAATGCTGTAAAATTAGAAATCAACAATAGGAAGATAAATGGAAAAAGAGCAAACACATGAAACTGAATAACACCTTCCTTGAAAATGACTGGATAATAGAAGAATTAAAAAATTATTTGAGTCAAACGAGAATGAAAACATAACATACCAAAATCTTTGGGACACAGCAAAAGCAGTGATCAGAGGCCAATATATAGCAATAAATGCACATATCAAAAAAAGAAGAAAGAACCAATATCAATACCTTAACCCAACATCTACAACAATTATTAAAAAAAAAAAAGCAACAACAAAAAAGCCTACAGTCACCAGAAGAAAAGAAATAATAAAGTTTCAAGCAGAAATAAATGAAACAGAAAATAGAAAAACAACACAAAAAAAATCAATAAGACTAGAAGTTGGTTTTTTGAAAAGATTAATAAAATTGACAAACCACTGGCAAATTTAACAAAGGGAGAGAGGAAGAGACTACAAATAACAGGAATAAGAAATGAATTGACAACACCACAACAGAACCAACTGAAATAAAAGGGATAATATCAGGATACTATGCAAAACTAAACTCCAACAAATTCAAAAATCTTGAAGAAACAGACAGATTTCCAGAAACATACTACTTACCTAAACTAACAGAGGCTGAGGTGGAAAATTTAAACAGACCCATAACAAAAGAAGAAATTGAACAGGTCATAAAAAAACTACCAGCAAAAAAAAAAAAAAAAGCCCTGTCCCAGATGGTTTCACTGGCAAATTCTACCGAACGTTCAGAGCAGAAGTGACACAAATCTTACTTAAAATATTCCAGAACATAGAAAAGGGTGGAATCCTTCCCAATTCATTTTATGAAGTAAGCATAACCTTGATATGAAAACCAGGCAAAGACACCTCTCGAAAGGAAAACTACAGACCAATATTCCTCATGAATATAGATGCAAAAATCTTCAACAACAACAAAGAAATACATTATGACCAAGTGGGGTCGGTCCATATCAGGTATGCAAGGATGGTTCAACATTAGAAAAACAATCAACATCATCCATCACATAAATAAAACAAAGGTGGAAAAGCTCAATATCTTCAGCCAAAACCAGGCCAGGAGCTGATTGTGGAACAGACCATCAACTGCTCATAGGCAAATTCAATTTGAAGTTAAAGACAATGAAAACAAGTCCAAGAGAGCCAAAGTATGATCTTGAATATATCCCTCCTGAATTTAGAGATCATCTAAAGAATAGATTTG